GTGAAATGGATGAACATTGGTTATAATGACAGCTAAATTACAATAATATTTGTAACTTTTATGATAAAAGCATTGGATAGCCAAACCATACGACTCAATCTGTTACATCTTTTAACCTCAATTGGTAGCACTAACTCCTTAGTCTAATTCATCAAGTGCTTTTACAAAAACCACAACTACGTTTTATTTTTTTTCAATGTCTCGGTAATTTGGTGTCCCGTAGCTCGGTTGATAGCGCATTCAACTCACACACTGAGTGTCCGTGGTTTGATTCCCGGTACGGGTGAAAACATTGGTCGTGTTTCCTTATGACACCTGCTGTCCCTGATCACCTAGCAGCAGGTACGTACCTAGGTGTTAGCCGGCTAGTGTGGGTCGCATCCTGGGGGACACAATCAAACTGCCCGAAATGCTGTGCATAACCAGGGGCTGTCTATATAGTATGTCAGTGATGTTAGCTATGGTCTGTACAAGTTGTATCATGTAGAAATAAAAGATTAAACCACTGGTGAACACTTATTTTCAGGCCAATGATATTACACCGATTTTGGGGTAAGTTTGTGGTGCTGATTCCGAATATGTCATCGGTTTTGCTTGACTGGCTCTAGCTTTTAATCAATGCGGTATCCCATTGAAAAACATAAAAAAATGTGAAAAATATATTAATCACGAGGGACTAACTTACAAATTGCATTGAAATTATTTTTTTTTATATCATGTAAAAGTCACATCATATAATATATACTAGCGCTTCGTTCTATATAATAACATATTAACATAATAAGATAATTCAAATACCCCTAATTACTGTATATGAAAACACTGACTTTCTTCTGTGTTGGTCATCAGCACAGTTTCGTTGAGTGAGCAATTGCAAGAGATCCATATTGGTTACCATTGTGCATTAAGACACAATTCAAGCTTCTAATGGAGCTGTCTATAAACAGTCGCCAACCTCCTGGTCGATATTCAAGTCCCATTGGAAGAAGAATAGGAATGTTATTGCAGTGTACAAGGTCTTCATCTTGGCTGAATTAAGGAAGAACTTCAACGTCTCTTGTCAGATAAGCTGTTATTTTAACATCTTGTTGTAAACTTCTTTTCGTTTAGTCTGGATGCTAAAAGTTCAGATGCTTGCTTTGACAGACTGACGTCACGTATCAGATCATTGAGGTCTTCTGGGAGAACTGCTGGGGCTGTTGATATACTTACTTCTTAATTACGTCTACTGTTATCACCTGTGTTACATCCTAAACTCTGAGTTTCTTCAACATCTGACAATGGAATGTCAAGCAGTGTTGTAAACACTGGTATGGTAACGTCTTCACTGTGTGGCACAGTGATGCTTGCTGACTCCAGATTAGGATATTCCCACTTGACTTTCTTGTATCGATTGAAAACTTTCACATTCACTATACAGAAATAACAGTTGTCGTGTTGGTTTTTAGGTTCTCTCCACACCATAGACACACCCAAGTTTAAACTTTTCCTCTGACTAATTTTTCCACTGTCGTCAGGCACTGGACAAGCACCTAAAGTCGGTACCTGACCAAACGGGCTGTGGCTCGTACGTTGGATTGCGTGCAACCAGCAGTAACAGCCTGGTTGATTAGGCTCTGATCCACCAGGAGGCCTGGTCACAGACCGGGCCGCGGGGGCGTTGACCCCCAGAACTCTCTCCAGGTAAACTCTCCAGGTCTCCAGTATTCTACACAGGTTGTGCAGACCATATGGGAGCCCAAGACTTGTCTTGTTCTCGAAGTGCCACTCCAAAATAAGCAAAATAATCTTCCTTTGCAAAACTTGTGATTTGCCACAAATGTGGGAAAATGCATTGTGATTGTTTAAGCAGACTCTTCGTGAAGAACTCATGTTTATATGCAAAAAATAACAAAATGAAGATTGCAATATTGTCACGTGGTCGTTGTTGATACAATTCCTCGAGTTAAATTTTAAATAAGTTAAAAATAAAATTTTAATCTATTAAAACTATGTATATACAGAGTTATGGCTAAGCTTTCTATTAATTTAAGGTAGGTATGCAATATCTCACAAATTTATATATATATATATATATATATATATTATATATATATTATATTATATATATATAATATATATATATATATATATATATATATATAGTGATAGTAAGAAAACATAGGGAGGTACCACTTCTAGAACTTTACTTGGGAGCCTCATCCTCAGAGAAGACAATAAACGTACCTCAGGGAAAACTCAAGGTTCTCCCCGGAGCTGTTTGAATATTTTCTTCTCCAGTCAATCATTCCTCCCTTTCCCTCCATATCTTTCCTCCCATACAAATTAAATTGTCCAGTAGGGCGTCGTATCACAAGGACAAAATACTGTACTTGCTTGACAGTAACTTTAATCCAGGTAACCCAGTGACAAGTAGGATATCGAACTTGAAGGCAGCGAACAATTTTGCAAGGTCATCTTCCATGGGGCATTAGACAAGTTTTGTGATGGTTTTTGCAGGCACAGCATCCTGCACGCTCCTTTAACCTTTAACCTGCTTGACGTCAAACCCACAAGCAAGAGATCATACTTCCGTGACTGCAACACTGATTTAATTTTGTTTATATAAGAATAAACATAAGAACGCTAAACGATCTCAAGCAAAAAAGGCCATAGGCTAGTTTTATGGTTTACATATACGTTTTTTCACTTAATCACTTGCTATGAAGAATTTAGTAGACTAATGGCAATTCATAATGTCACAAAGACTCGTCTTGGATTAAAGTGTTTAGTACTATAGATACATAATACTATAGGTACATATTGAATGGTGTTTATATTTATGTATTCATTGAGTTTACTCGAATCCTTTTCTTAAAAACTACTGTGTTTGTGGTGGGATTTCAAGTGAAATGTAGTCTTAATGTCGACCTCATGCGGTAGATAAGCTTCAAACCTAGTAGCACTGTTGCGTAGGCATTATGAGATTTCCGTCTAACCTCCCTGATTACTGAATCCAGGTTATTCCTACTGTGAGCTAAACGCTCTACTACTGAACTTCGAGTCACTGACAAGATAAATACATATCGCTTACGCTTCAGGACATGAAGCTGCACCTTACCGTAGTAGCCGCGTCTGAGCGGCTTAGCCTGACCAAAAACGAATCACCCCTACTGTTTGTTTAAATTTGTTCACGCTCCTGGCTGATGACCTGAAACAAATTCTGGACGAGGATTACGGGTTGTGAAAAAAATGGATTTTGAACAGTTTTGCTTGCCCTGAGTTACGTCATTGGTGAGGGAACTGGTCGTGACACTTGGAATTTAGTACTGAAAGTTTGATAAAGCGTTGAATAACCCAGGTATCTAGCACTTTGTAAGTGAAACAGAATTTCACCACGAGGGGTTGAGACTACACTTAGAACTGGCATAAGGCGTGTGAAAGTAAGAATGTGCAGAGCATTCCAGTCTATAGTGTGTTACCTTGTATTCCAGGGAAGGAGGTAAGGATGACTGAGCACCTGGAAGAGGCCACCTCCACTTCCCTGGATAGAAATGTAGCCAAAGAATTATTTTATATCTTTATAAATAATTTAGGGGATGAGTACAAAAAAGTGTTTGTTGAGGGGTGTGTGCTTTTGTCGGAGACTGGTTTGTTGGTTGTGTATTTCTGTCAGACTGGTTTATTGGTGGAGGTGTGCGTTTGTCAGACTGTTTTATTTAATAGGTTGAGGTGAGTGTTTTTGTCAGATTGGTTCGTAGGCTTAATTATTCTCGTCCAGCTGCTACGTCGTAGATTAAAAAATAAAAAACTTGTTTTGTGTGACTTTTTCTAAATATGGTTAAGAGTTAGTATCGTAGTTATTTACACACACACACGCACACACAAACTCACTCACACACACATACACACATACGCACACACACACACACACACACAAACATATATATTCACAAACAGGAGAAATGATTTACAAATATTTCCTCTTAGTCCACATCAGGATTCGAACATGCAAACCTGGCATCAGAGTACGCAGTACTTTACCACGCAGCCCAACTCCAGTAAGTATGGGCTCCTAGCCGAAGCTAGACGGTCACTCTCTCATACCCCGCACCACCAGACTTGTACAAGCAAATACGATCACAGGAAGCAAAGGTGCTTCCTGTGATCGTGTTTCCTTAGACCTCCTCTTCTCTGCAACATTGCAACCTCCCGATGTGTTGACTGCAACACGAAAGGCCTAGAGCTATCATTCAACTTCCCCCATGCTTGTGTCGCTTTATAGTTTGGCGTCAGAACTGGACAGCTCAACCTATTTGTTGTCATTATTAATTTCATAAGTTATTATGTTACTTTTGGCATCTCTAAGTTTGCTCCAAGTCAGGAAAAAACTTATTTAAAAACATGATGATAAATTCAACCTAGTGATAGTGCCGATTTTAAATTCCATACACCAAAAATAATTCTTTTATGACTTTTTGAATATTAAAATTGTCAACTGCGTTACAAATCAATGAATAATAATTCTGTAGTCATGTGAAGAACGTTTCTTGTGTGTTGCTATGTAAATCCTCCCTGATGTTGTAACAACCTATTTTGTAACTATACAATACCTATTATGATGTAACTACAACTTTAAAATATATTCTAAGTTGGTTATATGAAACTTTAAAACCGACTCTTAAGTAGGTGACTGATAATCGCTTACTCTGTTGTACAACAATGGAACTGTATTATCATACTGATGACTATCCCGCCTACCATAGTTGAAACTTAGATGTTTGGTGTTAGTTAAGTACACGGGACACCTGCATTTACCTGTTGTAACTGGTGTTATAAGCTACACTACTGAAGATATAAAATGTGAAGGAGTAGACTTTAGGGATCACCTTCTCGGCCAGGCACTCTTGTAGGAAGCTGTCTGTTGTGTAAGCTGAAAGCACCAAGAAAGGTATCCAGATAACGTTTGCATGACATGTCTACTGCAACATAAGATATAAAATACCGTAGGTATAACTCACCAGCATATAGCATGAAGAAGAGAAACTTCAAGGGCATCAAGTCTGAAGACAAAAAGTTGATCTTTATATCTCTCATGAGTTTTTCCCACATCTTGCCGATTGGTGTCTGGGGTCCTAGTTGATAGATTTTTCACACTCCCACACTCACTGTCCGCCTTCCCTCACCTTGTAATTATTTAGGTGTCTTGGGCTTTGCTGCAAGTTAAACATATATATTCACTCGTCACATTTCTCCAAATTTAATTTCGTTTTAATATTTTGTACTGTAAAACTCGCAAAGACACAATGTAGAGGCTCGCGGTTTCTTTAGCACCAGTCCGAATATATTGCCTTTGTCATCGTAATTATTGTTCGTTCCAGATTCAACACTTTGGATGAAGCACCTGAGATTACCGCAATTAACTTAGATGTGTTTGACAGGGGTGGATACGAGTGCGTGGAGAGAGCGTGGAGTGCGTGTGCTTGTGGGGAGAGTTGAGAAAAGTAAGTGGCACCTGGACTAGTTTAAGCTTGTTAAGCTCCGCCTGGCTACCCTCTTGGTGACCCTCGTAGCTAGCCTCACTCCACATTCCTTCGTTCCACACCACAATATTTACCCCTGGCCTTACCTTGCTCTCTCTCATATGATGCTCAAGAATTATATTGCCTTATGACCCACGCTACACTTTCCCATTAATAACAACTTCACGAAATGGCTCTTTAACTTGTTGGTTTATTTAGTAGAGAGCAAGAGATACTTTCCTTATGGTTTAATTCGCTCAGTGCGAATTAAACCATAAGGAACACTCAGCATCTCTTCAGATGGCCAAGAGGAGGCATGGATACTGGACGTAGTAACCAATCCCACGAGGGCTTTCTTAGTGCTGACCAATCAGGCAACAGCTTGCATAGTACCACATTACTAGGCCAGTCACGTGACTTAAGGTTAGGAAGCTCAATATATTATACTACACAAGTGCTATTAGCACATTGTACTAGTAGTACAAGATGATATAGCGTCGCTCACGGTTACTATCGTGTAGCCTCACAGACTCGATTCTGGATTCCAGGACTTGATGGCTGTCCAGTTATGTTTATTTAAGACGTGTACGAAGCCACACGGGTAAACCATAACAGCTATTAAAATTACTTCTCTGTACTTAGGACGTATAATAGAGCACTTATTGTACTGTCATTATTACCTTGTTGGTACACAAATAACTCGCACATAGAAGAGAGAAGCTTACGACGACGTTTCGGCCCGACTTTTACAAAGTAAATGGTCCAAGTTAGACCGAAACATCGTCGTAAGCTTCTCTCTTCTATGTGCGGGTTATCTGTATATCGTTCCAGTCACGATACTGCGCCTTTTTTTTTTATTCTTGTTGGTGCCACTTACGAATTTTTATTAAACTTTTGTGTTAGACGCCCGTTAGTTTTATAAATGTTTATGAATATATATTTATGTTTATTAAAAAAGTACGAAATTTCATACGATCAGTTGAAAAACAAACCCGATTTTCTTGCTTATTCAAAATGTGACTGGATTCTAGTCATGAATGGCTGCTGGAACTGAAAAAAGGCATCTGGCTGTTTCTGGTCTCGCAGCTAAATCAACCGGATTATCGAAATTAGTGAGCAACGTCTCTGTACGTAGTAATTCACAATTATATATATTACGAACCTGGGCGATTATTCAAGGTTTGTATGACGGGTCAAGTGTCGAGAGATACTCAGCTAGGGAGCTGTTTCTCTTTCCTGATGCTGGTCCAGGGATTTTGATCCGAGGAACTGAAGCTACCCTTTCCCTTGCGTTATATAAGCTTAACAAGGACAAGTGTGAAGAACTTAGACAATATTGCTTAGCCTTAGCATCTAATAATGATAATTATTATTATTATTATTATTATTATATTATTATTATTATTATGGGAAGCGCTAAATCTGTAAGGGTCATCAAAGGCTATTGAAATGGGGAACTGGGAGGCAATAAGGTTTCTTAAAAGGAAGTGAAGAGAAGCTTCAATTTCTTGGATCAAGAACCTTCACCGGCGCCAAGGCGCACCTCTCCAGGGACCGGACTTGATGCTGGTGACTGACCATAAAGTTATAAGGTTAATGGAATCATCTTATTTCCTAGGCTGCTGTGGGAGGCTTACATAGGCTGCTGTGGGGGTTTACCTAGGCTGCTGTGGGGAGTTTACCTAAACTGTTGTGGGGAGTTTACCTAGGAAATTGTGGGGAGTTCTCGTAAATTATTGTTTGGAGTTTACCGAGGCTGCTGTGAGGCGCTTACGTAGACTGTTATAGGAAGTTTACATAGGCTGTTGTGGGGAGTTTACCTAAACCGCTGTGGGGATTTCAGGAACGCTATTGTGGGGAGGTTACCTAGGCTGCTGTGGGGAGGTTACCTAGACAGCTGTGAGGAGGTTACCTAGGCAGCTGTGGGGAGGTTACCTAGGCTGCTATGGGGAGGTTACCTAGGTAGCCGTAGGTACCTTAACGAATATTCTGACTTATTTGTAGTCAAGGTTATGATCAAAATCTTACAAGAGTGAATCACCAGCTAAGCAAACTGTGTTTGGTAGTGCACTCACACTCACACACACACACACTCACACACACACACACACACACACACACACACTCACACACACACACACACACACACACACACACACACACACACACACACACACACACACACACACACACACACACACATAGTTGTTACAGTTACTTTTTGCTGATGACACTTTGCTTTTGGGAGATTCTGAAGTGAAGTTACAGAGAATAGTGGACTAATTTGGGAGGGTGTGTAGAGGAATGAAGTATAAAAGTGAACATAGGAATGAGCAAGCTGATGAGGATAACAAACGAGTTATTTAATGAAAGACTGGATATCGAATTGGAGGGAGGGAGAAAGAGGAAGTGAATGTGTTCAGATATTTGGGAGTTTACGTGTCGGCAGATTGGTCTATGAAAAACTAGTTGAACCATAGAATTGATGAAGGAAAAAAAGGTGAGTGGTGCATTGAGGCATCTGTGAATACAAAGAACGTTATCCATGGAGGCAAAGAGAAGTGCATGAGAGTATAGTGGTAACAACAATCTTATATGGGTGTGAAGCATGGGTTTTGAATGTTGCAGCAAGAAGGCGGCTGGAGGTAGTGGAGATGTCGTGTCTGAGGGCAATGTGTGGTGTAAATATTATGCAGAGAATTTCTAGGTTGGAGATTAGCAGGAGTTGCGGAGTTACTAAAATTATTATCAAGAGTGCTGAAGAGGGGTTGAGATGGATTGGACATGGAGCAAAATTGGATGACTTGGAGGGTGTATAAATCTGTAGTGGAGGGAAGGTGGAGTAGGAGTCTCCCTAGGAATGGGTAGAGGGAAGGGGTAAAGTAGGTTTTGTGTGTAAGGGGCTTAGACATCCAGCAGGCGTGTGTGAGCGTGTTTTATAGGAATGAATGGTTTTTGGGACTTGACGAGCTCTTGGAGTGTGGACAAGGTAACAGTTTGTGAAGGGATTCAGGGAAACCGATTAGTCGGACCTGAGTCCTGGAGGTAGGAAGCACAGTGCCTGCACTCTGAAGGTGGGCTGGGGATATTTGCAATTTAGGAAGAGCACCTCTGTAAAGACAGTGATGGAGTGAATGATGGTGAGTGTTTATATTTTCGGATCACACTAGTTTGATATTATATAATATATATAAATATATATATATTATATATATATATATATATATATATATATATATATAATATATATATATATAATAATATATAAATATATATATATATAATATATATATTATATTATATATATATATATATATAATATATATATATATATATATATATATATATATATATATATATATCGCTCCTCTTGGGCACAATGCAATCGATCTGATCCTAGAAAAAAAATCTCAGACCTCCGGACGATGGAAGGCAGGATGAAAGACACTGATACACATGATGCCATCTACCTACTCACCAGGTGCCTGTCAATCCCAAAACTTACCTACTTTCTGAGATGATCCCCAGCCTTCAGCAATCCAAAACTCAAGGAATATGACTCTCTCCTTAAGACCATGCTAGAGAGTGTATTGAATCTTTTCCTGGAAGATGGACAGTGGTTGCAAGCCTCACTTCCGGTCAGGCTTGGAGGGCTAGGAGTATGCAGATCCTCCAAGATTGCTTTACCAGCTTTCCTATCCTCTTCCATAGCATCAAACGAGTTAATAAGACAAATTCTTCCCAAAAACCTCAGTGACTCGGCAGGAATACAGGACCCTGACTATGCCAGTGCCATCTTGCTGCTCCAGCACTGGCTCACAGTCAAGCTGGGATGGCCCAATCGCTGAAAAGGTGCTTCCTCCAAAGGGTGAATTCCTCCAAACAGTTCCCATATCGGCAATGGGAACACGCCTTGACCCTAAGACCCTCCGTATTGCAGTGGCTCTGTGCCTTGCTGCCCCAATTCACACGGAATATACGTGTATCTGCGGCGAAGCGCAAGCCGACCAATATGGTCTACATGGTCTCAACTGTTCCAAAACCAAGGGCTGGCATGCAAGACACAATGAGGTCAACGACATCATAAAGAGAACCCTTACTACAGCTGGATGCCCAGCCGAGAGGGAGCCCCGATCACTAGTAGCCAACAATACCACAACCCAGCAAACCGCCCAGACGGGATCACCATTTATCCTTGGAAGAATGGCAAGCTCTTAGCATGGGACTATACCTGTGTGTCCACACTGGCTGACACGTATATCCGTCACAGTGTGGGGCGACAGGGAGGAGCTGCCGACCACAGGGAGGAGCACAGGATCAGCAAGTACAGGGACATAAGCCAACAGTATCAATTTGTCCCAGTGGGATCAGAGACCTTGGGATCATGGGGAAAAATGCCACACGTTTCCTTAAAGAACTGGGCTCCAGATTCATCGACACCACCAGGGACCCAAGGGCAGCCACTTTCATGTTCCAGCGCCTCAGCGTGCCATCAGAGGGGAAATGCTTGCTGCATACTTGGCTCGCGTCCGGCTTCGGAGGAGCTGGAGGAAATTCATAATCTTTAATATATTGTACCATTGTATTCATGGTTGTGTTTCCTGTAAATGTATTCTGTCTATTAATAAATTTTCTCATAGAATATAAAATATAGGGGGTGGTAGGAGAAGAAAATATTTCATAACAGCTTCGAGGGAACTGATTTTCCCTGAGAGTTGAGTGGTACCGTTATATTTTTTGAGGATGAGGCTCCTAGTAATATAGTTATATAAGTATGTACTCCATGTATATATATATATATATATATATATATATATATATATATATTATATATATATATATATATATATATATATATATATTATATTATATAATTGGGTGTGTAATTTCAGTAGTGCTAGGCATCCACATTCATTTGCTGACCGGACGAGTACACAAACCTGCAAGTATCACGCCAAGACAATTCTCCTTTTTTCACCAATGCACTCGTGGGAAAGGTCAAGATTTGCTTGGTGACAGCCA